GACAATACAGTAAAAGATGTACAGTAGACTCTCCTATAACGCGAGTTTTTACAACGCGATTTCGTACAACGCGATAAAAGAATTGCGACAAATTTATTTAAACAACGCGAATTTTCGTATAACGCGTTATAAAATAAAACAATTTACCCTAACAACATTCGCGTTATACAAGTTTTATTTCGTACAACGCGAATTCCTATAACGCGATTTCATACAACACGGAACACATTAATCGCGTTATAGGAGAGTTTACTGTATTGAGGTTTGTTCCTCATGTCCACAAAAACAACTCGAGTCTTCCACTACTTTAATTGTTTTTAAAAAGCTTCTAAAATTTCTATGATTAGAAATGTGGTGTATTTAGTTTAATTAAAAAGTAGAAATATATTTTAGGACTTATTTATTTAAATGGATTTTTTAATATTACATCAGAGTTGATGCAAAATCCAAAATTACAATTCAAAAATAGAATGATGATGATATAGTTTTCCAGTTTTTGCAATTCTTCACTGGACATGACGACTTCAACTCATACCTGTTAAAAATTGGCAAAGCTGAATCACCTGGATGCTCGTGTGGAGGCGAAGAACAGAACCCCAGACACTTATTAACTGACTGCCCGCTGACCTTAGGGAACTAAATCAACTTCCCATAACAAACATGTGGTCTACACTAAGGACATACACCAAAGACTACAGAATGTACTTAACTAAATAACTGACTACTAATGTAATCAATACTGATATGTAAATATGTATATATCCCTTTAAACTAATTTTCCTTTCATTCAAATGTATATATTTCACACGTAAATATCCGATTTGTGGATATAGCGTGTATTCTGCAATTTTGTTAAAGAAAAATAAAAAATGATATAGTTTTCCTATGGTATCAAGTTCTAAGGGTTAAGTTGACCAAAATGTCATAGCGATTATTGGATGAGACATAGTGACATATTGGTGACATCTTGTCAATCGTCTTTCACCCAAATGCCAAAAGAATTGCCTCCTTGGTCGATTGATACGATGTTCGGAAATGTTTTAAAACTTTTCTTTCGCCCAGACCTTCGCAGAAGTTTGGTCAAATTTCAATGATAAACTTTTTAGATATTATTGTACATTCAAACTATTATAATCCTCTATTCATTTCAGTCATATATTTATATTCTAATAATTTTTAAATCCACAGATTATTATTCTGTGATATATTATATATATTAAAAATAAAGAGAGCATATCCTGACCACAAGCACATGTGCTTTTTTTAGATAGCAGAGCGCCATCTAGTGACGGAAAAATTAAATAAAAGTTTATTTAATTTTTTAATTTTTTTCTAATGTTTTTTCATTGTATATATCGTAATATATACCTTATCATCATTACGCTGTTGTTGACTTGTAATTTTGGATTTTGCATCTACTCCGGTGTACGGTATAATATAATAAAATCCATTTGAATAAATAACGCCTAAAATCTATTTCTACTTTTTAATTAACCCAAATACACCACAATTTCTAATCATAGAAATTTTAGAAACTTTTTAAAAATAATTAAAACAGTGGAAGACTCGAGTTGTTTTTGTGGACATGAGGAACAAACCTCAATACATCTTTTACTATATTGTCCTGTTTTTCAAGACTATAGAATCGACAATAATTTAATAGTAACAGATCCAAGTATTTTTATTTTTAGTTAATAAATGTATATTAAATTTAATACATTTTTTTGTAGAGAGATATATATTTTGAATTATATAGCAACAAATATCTTTTAAGAAACTGATAATTTATATTATGTAGATTTTAGATATAGCCAGACATTTCTTTCTTTTGTACACAGTTCTCTGTTCTCGTTGAGATTTCAGAGCTTCATTTGTCCTTAAAATGTTTAAACTCTTAACTTTTTTCTCTTATCTTTTTATAATAATGATAATTAAACAATTTTGAGGTAAGCATTTGATGAAAATGTTTTTTTTTCTCTCTTTCTCCTTGTTAATATCATATGACTCTTCTTTTTACGGCCTAAAATTATTGTATATATGTATAGACAAATGTAAAGGCATACATGTATGACAGTGTAAGTGTCCTTAGAGGGACATAGCTGTGTTCTTCAATGAGCCATAATCGCCTGATTATAATTCACATAACACTATTAATTTCTTCAGGATTTTAATGACAAGACTTGGAAAAATACACTACTCTTAATTAATTGTTTATTTCGTTTTGGAAAGTACAATCATAGACAAAATTTGAAGAAGTTTTATATTTTGATGTAACCTATTCTCGATTTTTTTAAAGGAGACAGAGGTGTTCTAACTTGTTCAAGGTTTTCAAACTTGGTTATCTCGCGTGTCTTCAATAAAGGTCATTGTAATATCTTTCAGAGTTATTGTCTGAATCCTAATATACATGCTAGAAGGTACAACTTCCTTAAGTTTTGTCCATGAGTGTATATTGGTTATCTCGTCTTCAATAAAGGTCACTGTAATATCTTTAAGAGTTATTGTCTGAATCCAGATATACATGCTAAAAGGTACAACATTCTTAAGTTTTGTCCCCATGAGTGTATATTGGTTATCTCGTCTTCAATAAAGGTCACTGTAATATCTTTCAGAGTTATTGTCTGAATCCAGATATACATGCTAAAAGGTACAACATTCTTAAGTTTTGTCCCCATGAGTGTATATTGGTTATCTCGTCTTCAATAAAGGTCACTGTAAAACGAAAATTGCAATTATACCGCGAATATTTCTTTTAAACAAAAATCGAAATTTATTTTAAAGAGAAATAGCGATTATTTCTAACTTTACGGATGAAGTATGATAGGATGAATTGTGAAGAGTAATGACAAACGGAAAAATAAAAGTGTCCAGGGATGTGAAACGAACCCACTGTGTTCCGCTTACCGGGCAGATGCCATGTCCACTAGGCTACCCTGGACATATTTTTCCGTTCGTAAATATTATATAAAGTAATTTAAAATTCAATATAACGCGGCTGATGATTGTAAAACGAAAATTGCAATTATACCGCGAATGTTTCTTTTAAACAAAAATCGAAATTAATTTTAAAGAGAAATAACGAACTGTAATATCTTTCAGAGTTATTGTCTGAATCCCGATATACATGCGGAAAGATACAACTTCCTTAAGTTTTGTCCATGAGTGTATACACACTTGGTTATCTCGTGTATCTTCAATAAAGGTCACTATCATACCTTTCAGAGTTTTTGTCTGAATCCTGATATACATGCTAAAAGATACAACTTCCATTAGTTTTGTCCATGAGTGTATAAACACTTGGTTATCTCGGGTGTCTTCAATATAGGTCACTATGTATCAAATATCTTTCAGAGGTATTGTCTGAATCCTGATATACATGCTAAAAGATACAACTTCCTTTTGTCCATGAGTGTATACACACTTGGTTATCTCGTGTGTCTTCAATAAAGGTCACTGTAATATCTTTCAGAGTTATTGTCTGAATCCCGATATACAATGCTAAAAGGTACAACTTCCTTAAGTTTTGTCTATGAATGTATATTGGTTATCTCGTGTGTCTTCAATAAAGGTCACTGTAATATCTTTCAGAGGTATTGTCTGAATTCTGATATACATGCTAAAAGGTACAACTTCCTTAAGTTTTGTCCATGAGTGTATACACACTTTGTTATCTCGTGTGTCTTCAATAAAGGTCACTTTAATATTTTTCAGAGTTATTGTCTGAATCCCGATATACATGCTAAAAGGTACAACTTCCTTAAGTTTTGTTCATGAGTGTATACACACTTGGTTATCTCTGTGTCTTCAATAAAGGTCACTGTAATATATTTTAGAGTTATTGTCTGAATCCTGATATATATGCTAAAAGGTACAACTTCCTTAAGTTTTGTCCATGAGTGTATACACACTTGGTTATCTCTGTGTCTTCAATAAAGGTCACTGTAATATATTTTAGAGTTATTGTCTGAATCCTGATATATATGCTAAAAGGTACAACTTCCTTAAGTTTTGTCCATGAGTGTATTTTATACTCACCGAAAAAACAAATATACTTTTTAATTTTCAATAAGACAAGGTTACTCGTATAAATATATGGATTATAATTAAAGCATTCGTTATTCAGAACTTTTCTGGAAGAACCTTTAGATTTGGGAATCATTGCGGTGGTCGTATTTGAAGCGAAGAGGTCGCTATTGGGGATATTATATTAAAACCGAGAACTCGGCTATTTTAAAATGTGGTCGTTAACTTGGAATGGTCG